CCAACCAAAAACTACTGCGTAGAATTAATTGGAATTTTTCACACACAAGCCTTGCTATATGAGCTCTCAAAGCATATAAAAATTATACGGCTTAAATGTGAAGTTGGGTGCAAAAGAATACAATTAAATCCTCTGTCGGGAAAAAACGAACAACCCGATATATTTCATGCCTGATCGAAATAGATTTTCATTCATGCGCATAAAATTAATGAGTCATTTCTTTAAAAGACACTTTCTTGGCGGGGACACTCATAAAATCATTTAAACTGTTAGATTTTAGTATGTACTTCCGGCAGTGTTGTCAATTGCCTGTGTCTATAAAAAAGTACTGTGACTGACTGGCTAACTGACTGACAGACAGACGGAGATCGCACAATGTAAATCAATGAGCCTAAATTTAGAGGGAATACTTTAATTGTGCACTAATGAATAAGGAGCGATGTTTTGAAATTTTAACACTAAGGGAATGAAAAGTGATAGTATTGCTATTAAGGAACATTCTTTTTTAAAATATACACGGAGGGGAGGGGGAAGTGGAATGGAGGGTTTAGATGACGTTATAGAACATCTTACATGTGTTTGTATAAGTGAGATGAACACTTTGAGACGGAGTAGGAGCGGAAGTGAAAATTAAAAGTGTTACTTCTGAGAGGAGGAACATGGATAGTGATAACCTTGTACAACACTAAGAAGGGGTCTTTAAATGATAATAAAAGGGTGCATGCATAAATCTGAAAAGAAACTAACGTTACTTAGACTATTATTATTATTTCGAGATCAATTACACTCGCCTTTTTAAGCCTTCTTATAATTTATAGACCGATTCGTCTTTCTTTCTATGATCAAATATTGCAGTGTCATTAAAATGGTTAACAATGAAGAAGAGGGGATGGGTGGAGGTGAAGGTAACAGTCAGTACTATAATAGAGATGCCAGTTGAGGTAAGGTGGTAGGGTTGAGGGTAAGGACATTATGAGGATGGAATTGAGAGAAAAAAAGAGGTAAGAGTCTAGGTTAGGATTTTTAGGACTTTCTTCGTTGAACTGTAGACAAAAATCACCCTTTACCATGTAAGATTATGTAAGGCTATGTAAAGTTTATCTTACGTTGTAATACTTCCTTTTTCAAATTTTAGATTATTCCACCCTCCGTGTCTCTAACCCTCCCCTTCCGCTTGAAAACACTTGTAGTGTTATACAAGGTCGTCCCTATTAACTACAATTACCATATCGATCTTTCAATTATGGTCAATAATTATGAATTCTGATTTAAGAATAATTTACAGCAAAACGTCTTGACGGGTAGATGGGCGCCCAAACCAGTTCAAACAAATAAAAAGCAAACATAAAAGCGTTTTACAGCTTGTTGTGTTATACAGGTAAATGTTTTGCATAAAAACGTTTTTGCTTCATCAATCAGCGCCCATCCTTATATAATCATTTTCATTCCCTTACTATGCCGGGCAGTAGCATAGTTGAGGACGCTCGGAAGTCTTTTATCTAATGGTAAGACATGCGCCCTATTACCGTTAGCATGCGGTTATTTCCAAGAGAAAGTTCGGTAGAGAAGTCCTTAGCAGGAAATTTTCAATATTTGAAATTATTTTTCTCTGGCAGTTTCACGCCATCATAAATAAATACTGTAATGTTCGTGGGTTTAACAAAATTTAACTTCTAAGACGGAAACTATTTATTTACACTAATTATTATTGAACTTAACACTATTAAATTATTACTAAACTTAGGTTGTGAATTATTCTATTTATTTACAACTACTGTTGATATATCACTATGCACTGCGCTATTTATTTCACTTCTATCACTGTTAATTTATTTCTCTATTCACTTCTGCAACGGTCAATTTATTTCTACTCTCGCGGCGATCGTCTCTTCCTTTAAATACTCTTTTGTTCCCTTTCTGGAACTTTCTCGAGCCGCCCGGAAAAGTTTCATTTTCTTTGAACTGTTTAACTGCTTTCCCAGAACGCAGGTACGACACACATTTACAAATACGGCGCACATGAAGAAAGGCGCCCGCAGCTAGTCGGCGAATCGATAAGCCGCTCACACACACGTATGCCCCATCGCACACAAACACGCTCGTGCTCGTGCTATTTTATTTTAGGGAATTTTGTATTTTTCCTGATTTACCCACTAATTACAAACGGTGATCTAATCTTAATGCGAATGATACCTAGAATCAATCAAGGCAGCAAAGATCACTTGGTTTTTAGCCACTTAGATTTCCAGCAGCTGCATTTGGTATTTTCAATACGCCTAAGATATTTTCATAAATTGCAAGGTCTGTGAACTTTTTATTCCCTTATTGGAAGAATAGACAAATAACGATTGATCAATTTGTACACAATAGGTATAAGGAACATTTTGAATCAGAGGGACCTGACGTCAAAATTTAATTTCATATAAATATTAAAACTCCTTGATTATAAATCGTATGCCCTTCTTTTAGTATTTTGCGATTCTTGTCTTCTTTATAACGATCCATCTGGTGGTGACTGCTATGATATTCGTTAAATATAGAAAAGTTTATCAACAATCCGGAACACTGTTTAGTGAAATGCGACAAGGGATTGGTCAAAGCTTTTATATATATCATGAAGTCGCTTATAAGGACTTGTTCGATGAAATTCAGCAAAAGGTATTTTATTCATCTAGTTTAAGGACGTATAATGTAACAAAACGATGACTTACAATCCATTTAACTGTATTCGTGTAGCGTTGCTTAGTAACTATTAGATTCTGTAAATAGATATGCTTTAAATGATAAAATTTTGATGATTGTTTTTGACGTGACAACGTCTTATAATTCGATGGATCCGGCTGCACGCACGAAAAAACATAACTCATGCGGCGTTACCTCGCTCTGAGGCGTTCCATTTAAGGCTTGAAGTGCAAGCGAGAGCGCGGAACGAGCGACAAAGAGGCGCAATCGGCCCCCGCGTTCGGCAGCGTTAGACATCTGTCTCTCTCCTACTTGAGTGAGCGATGCGTCCGCGTGGACAACTGCTATACAATAATACATTTACATGTTTTCGTCAGGTATGAAGTGCAATGAAAAGTGAATGTGGTGTCAATTGTTTATAGCAACGATAATTGCGGCAATAAAGGTAATGATTCTTTCGATATTAAATATATGTTCTGGGGTCCCAAGAGATTTGAATGTACACTGTTACCTAATAAATAAACCATCAAATATTGTCGAATTGAAGCTAGAGTTACAAAAATTTTAATGATGTTTAAAAGTTGTAAATAAAAGTTCTAAAACAATTGCTCAAAGTACATTCATACTTGTAAAAACTATGTACATTGGAAAAAAAATAAATAAAAATNGAAAATTTGCAGAGACGTTAAATACGTCAATATAAATAAAATGTCAAAAGTTCCCTTCGATCGTACTTCTGCAAAAAATTTTATTGAAGGTCCAAAGTGCAAAATTAAGGTTTTTTCCATTTTTCTCGAAAACGGTAAGTTTTATGGTGGAAATAAGTCAGACAGAAGTTATAGACCATACAATTCTCTACAAAAATGGTCTAGTCACTTTTTCACCTACGATTAACCATTCGTGAGATATCGCGGTTTCAAACACTAGAAAATTCATATTTTACATAATATGCACACATTTCCGTGCACCACCTATGAAGTAATGTACTTGACGAATTTTTTTAACGTGGTTTCCCCAGTAAGTTTACTCTACGATCTATTGTCATTAAGAAAGTTTGATCAGATCGTATCCTATTGATTGAAAAAATGGTAATATTGCTAACGATCAATGTGGAATGGGTGGCTTTCTTCTAAATGTTATTATATATAGATAATTGTCTAATTCTACTTCGACAATTATTTCTTCGTCTTCATTTTCTTCTTGCAGAATTTCTGTTCACTGTTCTAAGAAAATGAATGCATCAATTGTCTTTTCATTAATATCATAAATATTGTCATCTGTTGTATTTGTTTTAATATTGGAGCCAGTCTGACCCTGACAATTGATGCATACTGGCGAACAAAATAGTCCCACTTTTTGACAGCCACAATTCTTACTACAATCCGTCTTGCATTTACAAAAAAATAGTATTAAACAGTTTTTCTGGAGCAGACGGGAGTAGAGTTTGAATTGGCTCCAAATAATTGTCTGTTAATTTCCAACCCCATCCTTCTGGGTCCAGCTCATTGCCTAGCCACACTTGAACTTGATAATACACACGATACAAGCGTTGAGAGGCAGAAGCAGATGTTGAAGGCAGACAAGACAACTGTACTGTACAGCAGTATTTAAATTGTTCGAAAAACGTAATGATTTAATTGATTGCGCAGAAGTATTTACAAAGATTGACTCTTCTCCACATGACATCGTTACAAATGAAATTCGTTTTCTTCTTGCAATGGTGCTTCAAAAACAATTGATTCCACAGACAAATATAGATATTTGAGGTTTGTAAAATCTGCATGGAACAATAAAACGGTACAGTACATTATCTCATAGGTGGTGCGGAAATGTGTGCATATTATGTAAAATATGAGTTTTCTAATGATTAAAACCGCGATATCTCATGAATGGTGAGTCGTAAGTGAAAAAGTGACTAGACCATTGTTGTAGAGAATTGTATGATCTACAACTTTTGCCTGACCTATTTTCACGATAAAACTTACCGTTTTCGAGAAAAATGGAAAAAACCTTAATTTTACACTTTTGACCTTGAATAAAATTTTTTGCAGAAGTACAATCGAAGGGGACTTTTGACATTTTATTTATAATGACGTATTTAACGTCTCTGCAATTTTCAGCTCTATTCGAATTTTGGCTAAATTATGACTTATTTTTGTCTATTTTGACTGGACTACTTGTTTTCCATCAATGCTGGGATAATTGTATGGCATGTAATAGAACAATAGTTCGGTAATTTGATTCTCAATTCAAATGTAAGCTTTGTTTGCATGGTAATCACCTAGCATCAAATTAATTAATCAAAAACTAACTGCTCCCAACTTTACAACCTATGGGAATTATACAGCCACTTATCATAGATAACAGTCAGTACTCAACCGTCTCTGACTTCGCCACTGCAGTCCAAGTTATTTTTACTTAAAAAGTGATACCCGCTGAACAGTTGTTAATACAATATAAATATATTGTTTCTATTCGAGGAAGGTTCAGATACAATGTATGTAGATAAAATAGGGAAAGGGGTACACTGTTGAATATCTTAATCTCTCTACTCAACTTAACGTAATACAATACAAACCAAGTTAAGTTAGGTTAAGTTAAGGTATGCAGCGGTGCTCCCTTCCCCTATTTTATATACATATATTATACCTGTACCTTCCTCGAACGGGAACAATTTGTTTCTATTTATATCGTGTAAACTACTGTTGAGTGGATATCCCTTTTTGAAGCGAATACAACTTGAACTGAAAAGACGAAGTCAGAAACGGCTGATAAGTGACTGTGAAATTCGCATAGGTTATTTAACTATAAAATATTTATTTACAAAGAAAATCGTTTAAAACCACTTCCCCCTGCTTTTTTCTTCCGAGTTTCTTATAAATAGACCTTTTCCAACTAAAAGCAGTACTACAGGAGTTTAACTGTTAGCTGTAACTACCAAAATCAACTGTTAAGTGTAATCTGCAAGTATTTATTTTCAATTAAAACTACTCAAAACACCCTCCCCTCGATTGTTTGATGGAAGTTTTTCATGATTAAGTAATTTTCAGCCATTTTCAACAAGAAAAAGTAACATTTTCGTAAAAGCCGTGATACTGAAGTTTTTAACTTTCATTCACAACCGAACATTCTTTTCCTTTCTAAGCAATCATGCTTGTCGTGTTTACCACTTTTATACGAAATTCATCCAAATTATTGGCATATACGCCCGAAGGTAAATGAGAAATGGGTATCGCATTCAATAGAATTTCTCCCCTAAGGAAGAGATTGTCTTTAGTATTTTTTACATTATATCCGTTAAATATTTATCTGCGGTGTGTACGTATGTTTAATAGGTTCGGTATATTACTGACCAAGAATTTAATGCTCATTGTAAGAGCATACATTTTTATCTGAATAACAAAGTATTTAAAAATTCTTTCAGATATATTTCCTGACCACTTCTACAATGGGTAAATCTACCAAGAACACCCTGACAACTTTCCTCTGCATTTTCAACTCAATTATTTTGGTAAGTACTGTCGAAATACCAATAAAACGTTTTTGAATACATACAATTATCTTTACGTTTGGTTGATCGCAAGGAATGTACCAACCTATACCTAATAGAAAATATAAACCATTATTAAAGAAAATGTCATATCTTGTCAGTGTTGATAAATCCACTCGAAATGCAGATTAGCTGGAAAGCGTCAGAAAAGTAAATTAATAAATACAATCTCATTCATTAGAGGTGCCTGCAAGTTAAAAAATATCAACATCACTGAATCTGCCAATGAGAATCCTACATTGAAATTAATAAAAATCGGTTGTCTGTAAAGTCGATTTACTGACGATAGTTGAACGTGACAACGCCATAAGAAAATACTGATGGAATGGTTTGACACAACATTCACTTTTCACTGCACTTCATACTTGACGAAAACATGTAAATGTATTATTGTATAGCAGCTGTCCACGCGGACGTATCGCTCACTCAAGTAGGAGAGAGACAGATGTTGAACGCTGCCGAACGCGGAGGCCGATTGTGCCTCTTTGTCGCTCGTTCCGCGCTCTCCCTTGCACTTCAAGCCTTAAATGGAACGCCTCAGAGCGAGGTAACGCCGCATGAGTCATGTTTTTTCGTGCGTGCAGCCGGCTCCATCGAATTATAAGACGTTGTCACGTCAAAAATTTCTACTTTTAATAGCGGTTAATATTTAATTTAAATATTATTGTAAGATTAATTTAATTTCTTTCCCACTGCAGCTTACCTCCAATGAATGACGAAAAGTTTGTTGCTGCTGTCACACTCTCGCCGGAAAGCGAACCCGGGTCCCTTGGCTTTACGCGCCAACGGTCTGACCACTAAGCTACAACGAAAGGTGACAGCAATAACAACGATGAAATGTACTTAACAGAATCGTCAAAACTAATGTATATTTGTCAATATAAGTTTGTAATGCACCTTAAAAAAATTTTACTTTTAATAGCTATTAATATATATTTAATTAATGATCCGAAATTTACTGCTGCTAATAAAACATTGTTCTAAACTTTATTCTGTATAACATCATTGAGACCACATGCAACGGTTTTTGTTTTGCTTCAAGTACTTATCTGTACTAAGGTATAGGCGCAGGGATTTTTAAATATATAATGTACCAATAATTCTAGTACTATTGATTTTGAAAATAAATATTATTCTGTCATAAACGTTACTGTTTTGCACAAATTATGAGTGTTACATTACTTAACTTTTCATTTTCATTTTCAGATTTGTGGAGTAGCCCTTTTTATGTTACACAGCTATAGATTGCTTACCCTCCGCTCTGTAACGGAGATTACAAAAGGCGCAACAGACAATGTTCAGATGGCTCCGGTAATATGTTTAATTATTGCTTTAGTGCTTATAGTTGTATCAGGGATTGCGTTTTTTGGGATATTAAATGGGATAACAATAATATTATTTGTGGTACGTATTAAACATAATATTTTTTATAGTGAATACATGCTTAAAGGGACGTTTTTATTCTGTAAATTATCTATGTCCTTTCATAAAACTCGCTTTCTATCAGATTGCGACTGTCAGGTCTCTCTTTAATTAAATATAATGCCGAAATTCCTTAAATGTTAACAACCGGAGTTATTTTGACTTGTTTTTGTTTACCTGTGGCCTTTTCCAAAGAATCTGACGATCGGATTTCTCATTATTGTTTTACGTTACCGATTGAAGTTTATTATTTTATGAATATTTGCACTCGAAAATGACTTGTAATTTGGATTCGTTTATCCAACTAGTCCAACCTACATACATGTGTGTAAACTCACTGAATATACCATATATGTAAGCTAATTCGAGTTCTTACTCCTTTTTTTATTGTTTTCCTTATATCATTTTGGCAAATATTGGAACGGCAATATTGCATTACACTGAAAAAAAGATATTCTTGTGTAAAAATAATATATGGGGTTGTGCGGAGTCATTTCGTTTTTTTTTTTGTGGAACTTAAAGACAGTTTTCGTATAATAAACAAATACTTTATTAAATTATATATTGACCGTTCTGGTCCAACACCTTTTGCCATCTTTCTGGTAGTAGCATAATTCCACGCTCATAAAATTTTTGGTCTTTGCTGGCAAAAAACTGATCGAGGAGGTTTTTGACCTCCTCATTTGAGGTGAAGGTTTTACCGTCTAAAAAATTTTGGAGTGACCGGAACAAATAATAATCCGATGGTGCCAGGTCTGGAGAATATGGTG